GCCGCTCTGCAGAGCTTCCCTTTCTCCTGCTCCCCGGGAGATTTCAGCTCCCTTGACTGGCTCAGAGAACCTTAAATTAATCACCCACTCAAAATGCTGCCATCAGCCCAAGAATAATTACCTCTCGGAACACGTCTGGCTCCAACACTGGGAGAACAGAGGATTCCACAGCAGTAGGGACTAAAGTCAGACTTTCAGCAGGGCTTCCTCAATGGAAGGAATGAACATACTGTGGAGTCGGGGTGGGGTAGCCATAAGAAGTCTAACTTGGGCAGGAGGGCATCAAGGGGCCTAAGGGGCAGGGAGAGGAACAGAAGAAGGGATAGAAAGCTGGCAGGAAGGTCTCTCCTTTCGCCCCCTCTTCATAAGGACCAAACAAAAGAATGAGAACTGAAAAACAGCAGCACCAAAAATCTGGGTCACACTCCAAGACTTTCCCCATCATAAGGCCAAGTTCTTGGGGCGTTAGCCTTCACCATCAGCTGGGGCGAGGAACAGATCTAAAGTCCTGATCTGGGAGGCAGAGGCCTGGGTTCCTGGCACAGTTGTACTACCGATCTGCCGGGTGTGACACTCCTTTCCGTGCCTCAGTGGACTCAGCAGCACACCGCGGGCCTGGGCAGAACGGTCCCGGGGGCGGCCTTCAGGGAAAGGAAAGGCCAGCCAAACTCTAGGAGGCCAGCTAACCTGCTCCCACTTGGCCCTGGGGCTGCCCTCCCAGGTGGACACACAAGTAAACCGAGGCCTGTAAGGGCAGCCCTGCTGGTGTGGACAGGTGGAGGCAAGAAACTCAGGGAAGGGGGTCAGCTGTCTTCTGTGCTAGGGGTCTGGGCTGGGGCGGCAGGCCCCGGAGCGTCTCTGTGAAGTCAGTGAAGAGGTAGGGGCAGCTCTGTGTTCGATTTCCTTTCCTTGGATGTGTACCACAGATGCGTTTGGGATGTCCATGGCCACACGTGTCAAAGCTATAGTGAGTGTGTGCACGAGACAGACAGTCGAGTGTGCAGCGGGGATGTGTGTGTGTGTGCCTGGGTGCTGGGTGCTGCGTGCTGAGGGCTGGGTGCTACGTGCTGGGGCAGAGAAACAAATGGCACAGGAGCGGCCCTCCTGCGGGGCCTGGGGCTGGGGCCCTGGCTGAAGCCAAGATGCGGGAGAAGGAGGTCTGAGTCAGCCCTCCCTCTCAGGAGGCTCCGCAGAGACCGCTCCTGAGCCTCGTCTCCCCACCTGTCAAATGAGGAGGATAGCAGCACCTGCCTGGTGGAGGTGGTCTATGGATGGCCCGGTGATCACTGCCGCTCAACGAGTGATGAGAAATTTCCATTCCAACTGCTGGAGCCACCACCGCCCTCCCAACCCCGCCAGGCAACTGCAGGGAGCAGGGGGCACGGCCTGGATAGGGAGTCAGGAGTCTTGGGGTCTGGTTCCACATCTGCTTCTGATTCACTGTGTGACGTGGGTTCTTAGAACCTTAGTTTTCTTATAAGCAAAATGGGCTATCAAAATGTGGACCCACCTCTTGGGGACGCCTGAGGGCTCTGGGCCCCCTTTGCTGGGCTGATTACCAACCCAGACAGTGATCGTTCTCAGATGGGCAGGGTGGGAGCTTGAAAGACTCCGGGGTTAGGAGTCTGAGGGCCCCAGGAGCTGCCGCCACCCTCCCCTCCCCATTCCCACAGCTTCTGACCCCAGGGAAAAGGCTGAGGAGGATGTTTACAGAGTGTAAACCTTCACATAGAGAAAGCACTGGGCAGCTGGGGGCTGGGAGCAGCCAGAGTCTCACAGTGGTGGGGTAATGACCTTGCCCTGTATCAGCCCCCTCCAGCCCTCTAACTTCAAGAGTGAGGCTGGGGGACAGGGCGGGGGGAGCTCTGAAAGGGTGCAGAGAGGAGGTGGGCCTCCTCCCCCACCCCGCCAACCACCCACCAAAGGCTCAAAAAGCAGGACGGATAGTGATTGTGGTGTTTCTCCAAATCCAGAGAGCAGAGCCCGTGAAGGGTTGAGGCCTTCATCAGAGACTGGGACACTGAGGAGGGGCTGAGGTTTAGGGACAGGACCAGGGACCTACAGAGAGGTGAGAGAGATGGGAGAGGGGGCCTGCAACCCCTCATCCTGGACCTCAATAAGGAGAAGACGGGAGTCCACGGTTCCCACGTCCCAGAGACCACAGCTGCAGGGGCAGAAGGGCCGGAATCCGAGCTCCTCCTCTGGACAGTCTTCAGTGCCAGAAAATATGTGGGCTGCGTGGGGACCTCACTGGCAGGTGTGAGGCTGACGTTCCCCTGGGGTGAACGGACCCAGCTCACCCCAGTGCCCTCCTTCCTGAGCCCTTCTTTTCCAGGCTTTTCTGCCAAGCCCCTCCTGCTAGGGCCTGAGTCTCCGGGAAGGGGGGGCTAGCTAACTGAGCACATTGAGACCCCTGCACTTGAGCCGCCTCTGGGCGCCCGTGGTGGAGGTGGGAAAGGATCTGGCCAAGAGTGCAGCGGGAGGGCTAGGAGTCCAACAGCAGGAAGCACTTCCTGGCAAGAACAGCCAAGACCCCAGAGTGAGTGACTAAGAAACCCCACATCTGGAGCACCTCAGGAGCAACAGAAGCCTCCGGTCGGCCCCCTCCGCCAGCCCCAGGAATAACCCCCATCTTTCACACTCAGGCCCTTGCCGCACACCAGGCTCTTTCCCACCTATTACCTCATCTGAGAGCGAGGCCCACAAGGTTGGGGTTTCTACCCACTCTGACGGCCGAGACATCTAAAAGCTCAGAGAGGCCCAGTGATCCATCCAAGATCACACAGCCCCCAAGAGGTGGGGCTCCCAACCCCTCGCTCCATTTGATCTCTAAGACAGAAGCCTAGTTCCCTGAGATTCCCTAGCCCTGTGGATCTTCTCACGCCGCGTTTCCTCCCCCAGAGCTCCTGAGATGCCTCATCCCTGGGCTCCCGGGCACAAGTGGTCAGAACAAGCACGCCCCTAGCCAGGGCATTCCTGGCATCCAGAAAGGGCAGGATGTGGGGCAAAGGTGCCAGCAGATTTAGCTCCTGGAGAGGAAGGAGAGGCCCTTCCAGAAGAGGCGAAGACAGCCGCTGGCCGGAGGACATGAGGCGGGTCCTTCACCTCTGATGACCCCTGGGGGCCTGAGAGACCACGCCTCAGGACAAAAGACCCCCGCCTCAGAGGCCTACTGGTTTCCCCGGGCCCAGCCTTGCTTTGGAAGGGTCATCTCCCAAGAGGAGCCTACGAAGGCACAGCCCCTCTCCGTGGAATGTCTCAGCCTCCCTGGGCGCCCCAGGCTGATGTGGGCAACTCGACCACCTTTCCTTAGCAGTCCTCTGCTGCTCTCACCTGACTCTATACAACTCCTTTGTACTGTCATCACTCCCACAATCCTCTCTGCAGCGAAAGACATTCATCCCAGATGCTCCCAATGGGCACTGGGGGTTGGGCTACGCTTAACAGTTGACTCTGACTCTGACCCTAAGTCTGACCTCATGTCCTGACCAACTCACCTCTGCCCCTGGCCTAGCCCAGCTGGAGTCTCTGCCTGAGTCAAGGCTGCCACCCCCAGGAGCACACTGGCTGAGAGAGTCCTCCTCTGCCGTCCCTACGGCCAGGGGGCTCCCCTTCACCTCTGAAATTCTGCGCGCCCAGTTAGGATGGGGCAGAGGCAGGCAGAAAGACAGACCAAAAGACAGATAGAAGACCAAGACAGATGGACAGGCACACGGACAACTGGACAGACGGGCACACAGAGGAATGCCTGTCCCACAGAGGGATGGAAACAGACAGGCAGAAGGACCACTGGACAGTGAGGTGGGGGGAGATGAACAGACAGGCTAACTTGCACACAGGTGGAAATTCCAGCAGAAAGACAGCCAGACAAGGCAGAAAAACTGCCTGACAGTCAGGTGGACAGGCAAGGGGGCCACCGAGGAGACCCCATAGACTAAAGGGCCCGCTCTGAAGGCAGCAAGAAGGGATTAATATAGGTACATTTTCCAGGGATGGGAGGTCTTTCTCGGGCACCTCCAGGCGTCCCAGCGCCAGGCCCAGCCCTTCAACTGATATCCGCGGGGCCTCTCATGTTCCCGGCTGGGCCAGGCCGTCCCCCAAGACTGAGCTCTAGGCTGCCAAAATTCACTCTTTACATCCAAGAGGGGTCAGTGTTTTTGAAAGTTGTAGGAGCCTGGCAAGGGGGAGGAGGGGGCCAGCAGCGTCAGTGTTTCCAAACCGACTGCTCTCCTCTTTCTTTTTCCCCAGGGTGCCCAGAGCCAGGCCTGGTGCAGCAGCCAGTGAGTGGGGCGGGCTAGCGGGCCCAGGCACCGGGGTAGCCAGGGCAGCCCGCCGCTGCTGCTGCTGCCACCGGCGGGTGCAAGGTGGAGGGGAGGCTGGGTGAAGACCGTCACACAGCACACATGAGTGTCAGGGCTCAGGTGGCTCACAGGGACCCCCAAGCCCCTACAGTGGGGGGCCAACTGGGACTGGGGTGGAGGCCATCCCTGTAGAGGGCCATCTCCAAGGGGTGCCCAGGTGGGAGCCCACTGTGGCAACAAAGTTGGGGAGATAGTAACAAATTGTGTGGGGGCCACTGGGTCCCCTTTGTGTCTGGGGCACAAGGAGGCAGAGGCAGGGAAGAGGAAAGAGAATCCCACCGTAGTGGCTCCGGAATGCAGAGAGGATGGGGGACAAGACACTGGATGTGGGGAGTACCTGGGAATGGGACGGAGGAGCAGGGGTTGGAGATCAGAATGAAAATAGTTGAGGTAGGGAAGTCAGGAGGGAGGTCAAGCAGGGGTCAGGACCTGGGGATCAGGGTTAAGGTCAGGCTGGGAGAGGATCAGAAATCGGGCTCAGGCCTGGGGGTGAGCGAGAGGAGGGTCGGCCGTGGGAATGGGGGGCAGGGGGCGGAGCCAGGGCGGCCCGCGTCGGCCCTGGGGAGCCCAGGCTCCGGCAGGGGCCGGGCCGGGCGGGAGCGCGGGGGCGCGGCAAGGGGCGCGGGGTCGCAAACTCACATGAAGACGTGGTAGACGAAGGCCCAGCCGCGGGGTCGCTCCAGCACGTTGTAGACCCAGTTCTGCAGGCGGCGGTAGCGCTTGTGCGCGGCCGAGGAGCGCTGGCCGCAGGCGGAGCCCGAGCCTGAGCCCGGCCCAGGGAGGGGCGCGCCCGGCGGTAGGGGGCTGCCCAGAAGGCCCAGGCGGCGCGGGGAGCCGCCCCCGCCCGCCTCGCCCCGCTCGCTCTGCACCGCCGTGAGCGCCACCAGCTCGGCGCGGGGGGCGTCCCCGGGCGGGGGGGCCAGGCCGAGGCGGCGCGGGGGGGCCTCGGCCATGGGCGGCGCCGGGCGTGGGGTTGGGGGGGCGCCGGAGCCCGGCTGCGGTCCGGGGCGGGCGGGCGCGCGCGGGGCGCTCAGTGGCGCATGGCTCGGACCCGGGCCCGGCGGGGGCGGCCCGGGGCGGGCGCGGGCGGCGGGGGGCTAGGGGCCGGGCCGGGGCGGCGCGGGGGCCGGGGGCGGGCGCGCGGAGCCTGGGGGCCGCCGGAGCCCGCACTGACCGCCCGCTTCCCCGGCGACTGGGGCGGCTCTTTCCGACTCCAACTCTCTTATTACGCGCTCCATGCCGCTCGCCTTTCCACCTGCCTCAGGCGCGCCGCTCACATGTCATCCTCCCCCGCCCCGCCCCTCCCCCGCCGCCCCCGCCCGCCCCGCGGCCGCCTTCCCAAATCGGGAGGGAGCTAGCGGGCGGGCGCGGCGAGGCGGAGGGGGGCGCGCGGAGCAGCCGGCGGGGCTGGGCGCACCGGCCATGCGGGCCGACGAGTCGGTGCCGGGACCTCACCGCGTGGCGGCGGCCCCCGGGGGCTGGCCGCGTGCTAGTGGCGTGCACTGCTGCTAGGGGCTGCCGGGACCCCGAGGCCCGGCCGGGCTGGGACGCCTCGCGGGGGTAGGGGGCTGCTCCGGAAAGTGGGGGCGTGGTGTGGGCAGCTGTGGCCACAGCTGTGGATGGGACTCGGCGTCCCGTGGAGTTCAGGTGTGAGTGGCTCCAGAAGTGCGTGCTCCGTGTGTGCCGCGCGGTTGGCTGTGGGTGCGCGCGGTGACGGGATAGAGTCCATGCAGGTGCGTGGCGTGGGCATTGTGTGGATAGGTGTGAAGATGAGTGTGCACGGTGCAGGCCCCGCTAGGTGGTGGAGATGAAAGCGAGGAGGTGTGCCCCTCGCCATCGGGGCGTGCCCTTAGTGCGCCGGGAGGAGTGTGTAAAGTGTGCCGGGGCTGCGTGTGGCTCGGTGAGCAGCGCCCACGGGAAAGGCCTGCTGTCCAGGCGCTGCCGAGCTGTGTCACAGCGTGTTGCACAGCGGACCCCGGGTGTGTCCGCTCGTCCTCCCACCCACACCCCCCACGTCTGAGCTTGCTTTCTTCGGGTTGGGGAACGAGCCCCCAGCCGCCGCCCCGCCCCTGATCCTCTCTGAACCAGCGCGGCGGGCTGGACGACTTCGTCCCCAGAGGCCCGCAGAATCCCACCCCCAAACGGGAGACTCTTTCCCACGCACTGCCTCTCCAGCTGGAAAGTTCTTGGTGCCTGACCTCCTCTCTCTAGCGGTAGGGGGCAGCCCTTTCGTTCCCTTTATCCCTCTCGGCCCTGTGAGGAGTGGTCATTTGGGTTTCCCGGTCCTCCTTCCCTCTTCCCCTGACGGCTGCTTCTGCCACACCAGCAGCTCCCTCCGCAGGCCCTGCCCCAGGGTGAAGGCTTCCGCAGCAAACTCTTCTCTGTTCCTCCCGGAGTCTCTCGGGGGACGGAGCCGAGCGGGAGGGGCGGGGCAGGGGGCGGGAAGGCGAGCTCGATTCTCAGCTGTCAGCAAAGGCAGCATTGATCTGCTGAGCTCCTCTGGGGGAGGGAGGGAGGCAGATCTGCAGGCGTCGGGGAGGGTGTTGCAGGGACCTGGGGGGTCCCCAAGCTGAGCTTGGCTGCCGGCCCACACCCTGACCAGTGACCTTTTCCCCTCTGCATAACACAGGGTACCTTCTGGGGTTTGACCTGAATCTTTCCTGCTGCTCTTTGGCTCCAGGTGTGCCCAGGGCCAGAGCCTGGTGCCTCTGGGCAGGTTATGCCCCGACCTCGGTGGCAGCTGGGGAAGGTTTCTGGACCCCAGGGCCCAGCCACAGATGCAATGCCTGCGCTGGGTTAACCCATCCTTTCCCTGTGGGCTAAAGCCAGCAGCCCCTAGACTTGGCACCCCCCTCCCAGACACTATGGGACTGTCTAGACTACATCAATCAGGGGTCCTGCAGGGTGGGACTAAGGTCTGGGAACCTGAATGGTAGGTGGAAAGAAAAGCAGTTGTAAGGGATTTGGAGGTCTTTCTTGGGGTCTAAAGACTCTTCTGTGGCTGAAACCCCACTTGAACACAGGTTGCCCTTACCAACACCCAGGATATCTGGAATTGGGTCTGTTCTTGGAAATCTGATCCTGACGCTTAGCATCACCTCTGAACCCCACAGTTCTCTTCCCACTTGGGGGACTGAAGAAGTCCCTTCCTTTTGTGAGGAGCTCTCACTGCCAGGAGAGGGCCCCACATTACCTTTCCCAACTCCAGCTCTAGATTATCCCCCTCAAAGGTAGCAGGAAAAGGAAGGACACCATGGTTGCAGCTAGAGGAATGAAAGTTAGACCTCAGGAAGGACTTTCATAGGACACAGAGGACTGTTTCTCCTGCAGGTGTGTATAATGAGCAGAGGGACACACCTGCTCCTTTTTATTTTTTTATTTTTTATTTTTTTAGATTTTATTTATTTTATTTGACAGGCAAAGATTACAAGTAGGCAGAGAGGCAGGCAGAGAGAGAGAGGAGGAAGCAGGCTCCCTGCTGAGGGGCTTGATCTCTATCCCAGGACCCCGGGATCATGACCTGAGCCGAAGGCAGAGGCTTTAACCTACTGAGCCACCCAGGCGCCCCCGCCGGCTCCTTTTTAAAGTGGAAAGTCAGCGAACTCTTCTTAAGGGGTGAGGGGAATGGAGAAGATGGTCCTTGAAGGTCAGAAACAACTTATTTGGGGGATGTGTGTGTTCATGTACCCACAGGGGGACTGGAGGAAGCCGAGAAGAAAGTCTGGTTCAGAGAGGACAGGTGGCCCCTCTGAGGGTCACCCGGCGGCCTTCCTGCCCCCCGCGATCCGGATTCCCAGGACATGACTGGGAGGATGGACTTTCCCCACTGCAGCCTTTAGTGACTAAGACACTTTTCTGAGCAAACAGCTGTCTCAGGCTCTCTCTGTCTGCCTCCCTGCTTCAGGAGTGTCGGGGGTGGTGGTGGTTTCCCACCCTCCTCTCTCACTCCTCCTCTCCCACCTGTTCCCTGCGCCCCACCCTCAGCAGCTTCGTTCTCACCCCCACCCCCCAGCCCCTGAATCTCGCCCTGGTGACACTGCCAGAATGGCCACACTGCGCAGACTCACTGTGTCCATGGGCGGGTCCCTTCCCCACTCTGGGCTTCAGTTTCCCCATCCGTGCAAGAAGAAAGGGGCGGGGCTCCAGGATCTCCTGTAATTCATCACTGTCACTGTCATCCATCAATGGAGCAAGTATTGATTGAGAGGAAGGGTGGGGATGGAGAGCTCCCATTTGCGGGGCACCAACTGGGTGCCAGATCCTGCCCCATCTGGGACAGAGAGCAACCATTTCCATGTGTGAAAGCTAAGGCTCAGAGAGGTACAAGGAATCTCTGAAGGATACACAGCCTGTGGGTAACCCCAGAACCATCTGTGACCTGTCCTCCCAGTTGGCTGGCACCTACCTACTGTGCCCTGGGGTCCTGGGATCAGTGCCGGGGGCTGAGGGGAACTGGAGATGTTCTCTAGAACTGTTCTCTAGGACTCTCTCCTGCCAGCGGTGGAGACTCCCAGGTCTATAAGTGTTCAGGTCTAGAAGTGGCTGGGACCTGGCTCAAGCCTGTCATTGACTATAACAGCCAGCAAGCAGTGTGATCTCAGGTCAACCAAAGTTGCAGTTTCCTTTCTTGAAGTGAGAAAGGGGTTTTAAGTCAGTGGTTTTCAGGCTTTATTAGCAATGGAATCATGAAGTAGCATCCCAACATGTACAAAGCATTAAAACAGAGGTGTTCTGCTTGAATTGGGGTTGATGGGTTTGGGGGGGTCAAGTTTCCACCCAGCAGATCTCCTACTCATCCCTCTCCACATCCCAGACCACCCCCCCCCGGGGTTTTCTTACAGCTCCCAGGGGTGTGAGAGGTCAGATGAGGGAAAAGTCTCCACTGGCAACGACCCAAGAAGGGTACAGGGGTGTGAAGGACTCGGGGAGGTGCAGAGAAGTGCAGTTAGTTATGCCTGCAGCGCCCGGGCTGAAGTTGGGGCTAAATGCTAAGCCTTGGGCAGGCTTACCTTTACTTGCATTGTCTTATTTCAGCACCCCAACAACCCTGTGATGGACTGCTGCTTACACCCCCATTTTACAGATAAGAAGACTGAGGGTCAGCAAAGGGACTCACCTGATCTAGCTCTCTACCCCTGTGCTGTAGTGTGTATGTCTGTGTGTGTGTAGGTGGGATGTGGGGTTGGAGAGGAAGTTATAGAGCAAGGGAGAAGAAGGGTAAGCTTGGCAAGGGGGACAGCAGGGGCCTTGACTGCTAAGCCAGAAGGTCCAGTTTGGCCTGATAGGAAACAGTCTGGCTAAGCAGACCTGGCCAGCAGACTGGCCAACAGTCTTAGCCTGGGCATGCAGCAGAGGCTGGGGCTCTGTAGGAGAGGGCTCAGGAGGGGTGGAGTTGGAGGCTTCAGCACCTGGGGAGGTTGGCAGTGCCAGGGGCAGAAAGAGCACTCAACTACAAGTCATGGCTAGGCTTCCTGGCTCTTCCTCTGGACTAGCTGGTGACCTTGGGCAAGTCATTCCACCCCTGCCCCACCTTCCTCAAGTCTCGGGAAGACCGAGTGCACGAAAAATTCTTGATCATGCTGGGAGGGGTACACACGTGAACCATTCATCTTACTGCTCTTCGGGTATGTGGGCGGGGTGGGTGGACAGAGATGCCGTGGGCAGTCCGTAGACCTGGCAGCTCTTTTCAGTCTGGAAAGGCTTCCTAGGAGGAGGGGTTTCCGGGGTGGTGGCATCACATGCATTATTTGCCTCTAGAGTTCCACTCCACTGTGAGGAGGAGGAGGAGGAGGTATAAGGGAAGGATCAGGCCTGCTTCCATTCCCCAGTAAGGCCAGAGAGGACAAGGGACCTAGGCCAACCCGGCAGGTGGGAAGTCCTGGAGGGGCCAGAGGAGTTTCTCTCCCCCCAGATCTCGAGGTGCCACTGAGCTGTTCCCAGCCCAGACAACACA